TAAATACAAGCAGACTATAATAAAAACAATTTTTTTTCCAGCCACATTTCTTCCTTGAAGACGATGGGTCCCCACTATCCTTCTAGTTTTTAATAATGTGTTGGACAGATCTTAACCCAATTTTAGTAGTTTCTCCTTAGAAGTTTTCTCTGTTTGATGCCAATGATTTGACCCTTCTCAAACAGACTGACATCTTTTCCACGACCACGTGATGTGTCTTTGACATGTTTGTTTAAGAAATGAGAAAAAACTCATTGCACCAGTTGAGGTTAAATAACTTGTTACCAGCTGAAAGATAATCACCCATGCAGTAATTATCCAATAGGAGGCTCATACCTATTTGCTTAGTTAAATCCAGGTGACTTTTGTTTGGCCAGGCAGTGTATAATGACAGTTATAGCATAATTGGAAAGTATTTTATACAGTACATGGTAATGAAACTTAAGATGTATTTAGTGGCCACCACAACCCAACTGAGTGTGTATCTGATAAACACCTGACTCTAACACCTGTGTGTGTATTTTGTGTGTGTGCATACTTGTCACTATAAGGTTTCTCCATAAGAATGTTGAATAGTGGGTGTGGGGAAACACAGACCCATCCCAACAGGACATAATGATGACACAGGGAAGACCGGAGCCAAAGACCCCAGCACGGAGCCCCCGGGAGTCCCCCAACAGGGACATACCCCCACCAAGAGAAGCAGAGGAGAGCCCTGGGTGGCCCCCAGCAGCTGCAATGCAGAAGCCCAAGGAGGCTGCAGCGACGAGTCCACAGGTCTTGCCGGCAACCCTCTACACCAGAGCAGATCTGGCCATGGCCACAGAGACCCAAGCCCCTAGGTCATACCACCCCTGACAGAGGCCCGACAGAGCCAAGGCACCCGGGCCCCAGCAAGCAGCCAGCAGGGCAAGCCGGCACATACCCAAGCATCCAGCCCCAGAGCCTTGATCCAAAAAGGAAGAGAAGAAATAAAAACTCCCAACAATCCAGGGAGAACCGGAGGTCATCCGTCCATAAAACATTCTTCCAACAGTCTTCTGGCTTGTCCACGTGATCTTTATCAAATTGCAGACGAGCAGCAATGTTCTTTTTGGAGAGCAGTGTCTTTCTCCTTCAACCCTGCCATGAACACCATTTTTGTTCAATGTTCTCCTGATGTTGGACTCATGAACATTAACATTAGTCAATGTGAGAGAGAAGTTACCCTGGGGTCATTTGTGATTGTGACCTGACCGATTATTCCACTCCTTGCTCTTGGAGTGCCACATTTCTGGCTTCAAACATAAAGATATAAAACTTTATTTTTTTGTGAAGAATCAACAACAAGTGGGACACAATCGTGAAGTGGAATGAAATTTATTGGATGTGTCAAACTTTTTTAACAAATAAAAAACTGAAAAGTGGGGCGTGCAATATTATTGGGCCCCTTTACTTTCAGTGCAGCAAACTCATCCAGAAGTTCAGTGAGGATCTATGAATGATCCAATGTTGTCCCAAATGACTGATGATGATAAATAGAATCCACCTGTGTGTAATCAAGTCTCCATATAAATGCACCTGCTCTGTGATAGTCTCAGGGTTCTGTTCAAAGCGCAGAGAGCATCATGAAGACCAAGGAACACACCAGGCAGGTCCGAGATACTGTTGTGGAGAAGTTTAAAGCCGGATTTGGATACAAAAAGATTTCCCAAGCTTTAAACATCCCAAGGAGCACTGTGCAAGCAATCATATTGAAATGGAAGGAGTATCAGACCACTGCAAATCTACCAAGACCCGGCCGTCCCTCTAAACTTTCATCTCGAACAAGGAGAAGACTGATCAGAGATGCAGCCAAGAGGCCCATGATCACTCTGGATGAACTGCAGAGATCTACAGCTGAGGTGGGAGAGTCTATCCATAGGACAACAATCAGTCGTACACTGCACAAATCTGGCCTTTATGGAAGAGTGGCAAGAAGAAAGCCATTTCTCAAAGATATCCATAAAAAGTGTTGTTTAAAGTTTGCAACAAGCACCTGGGAGGCACACCAAACATGTGGAAGAAGGTGCTCTGGTCACATGAAACCAAAATCCAACTGTTTGGCCACAATGCAAAACGATATGTTTGGCGTAAAAGCAACACAGCTCATCACCCTGAACACACCATCCCCACTGTCAAACATGGTGGTGGCAGCATCGTGGTTTGGGCCTGCTTTTCATCAGCAGGAACAGGGAAGATGGTTAGAATTGATGGGAAGATGGATGGGGCCAAATACAGGACCATTCTGGAAGAAAACCTGTTTGAATCTGCAAGAGACCTGAGACTGGGACAGATTCATCTTCCAACAAGACAATGATCCAAAACATAAAGCCAAATCTACAATGGAATGGTTCACAAATAAACGTATCCAGGTGTTGGAATGGCCAAGTCAAAGTCCAGACCTGAATCCAATCGAGAATCTGTGGAAAGAGCTGAAGACTGCTGTTCACAAACGCTCTCCATCCAACCTCACTGAGCTCGAGTTGTTTTGCAGAAAGAATGGGCAGAATTTTAATCTCTCCTTGTGCAAAACTGATCGAGACATACCCCAAGAGACTTGCAGCTGGAACTGCAGCAAGAGGCGGAGCTACAAAGTATTAACGCAAGGGGGCCGAATAATATTGCACGCCCCACTTTTCAGTTTTTTATTTGGTAAAGTTTGACACATCCAATAAATTTCATTCCACTTCACAATTGTGTCCCACTTGTTGATTCTTCACAAAAAATTAAAATTTTATATCTTTATGTTTGAAGCCTGGAATGTGGCAAAAGATTGAAAAGTTCAAGGGGCCGAATACTTTCACAAGGCACTGTATTTACTGATAAATTATCTGTTGTTCTTTTCTTCATTCCTATATTTTGATATGGAATATAAACTGCTGCTCCAGTATGTTCTGATTCTGGATCTTTTGATCCATCTGTAAATAATAAAAATGTATCCATATATTGCTTATGAAGGAATTGTTGCATGAAGAGCAGACTTTGATAGATCTCAGTTCTTTAAATCAAGCAGGGTGCCCACTCTCACCTGATCATCATCCATTTTGAAAACACATGACTCTAATTTCACCTTCAAATTAACTGCTAATCCTATAGGTTCACATACTTTTACCACTCACAAATATGTAATATTGGATCATTTTCCTCAGTAAATAAATGACTAAGTATAATATTTTTGTCTCAATTGTTTAACTGTTTTTTTAATTTTTTTTATTCAACCTTTATTTAAACAGGTTAATCCCATTGAGCCATGGGGACTCATTTACAAGAGAGACCTGATTTCAACAAAGTGATGACGTCAGTGGACAACAACAATAGACAATTATAAAAGAGGCATACAGATTTATTTTTTTTACAAATTAAAATAAAATGGCAACCATAAGGACAGTCAAAAGGAAAAAAGTAGCGAAAAAAAAACAAACAGCTAGATTCTAAGGCGATGTAGAAAACTAAAAACAGGAACATGTCTGCATTGGTTCTTGCCAAGAACTTAACAGATGTTTGAAGTCACTTAGAGGTCAAGGTCGAGAGCTTCAGATCTTTTTGCAAGATATTCCAGGAAACAGGAGCGGAGTAGGAGAAGATCCTTTTGTCTAGTTCAGTCCTCATTGAGGGAACACTGCAGGTAATAATGTCCTGAGAGCGCACGCTGTAGCTGCACTCACGCAGAGACATATAGGAGGAGATGTATGAAGGCAGCAAACCAAGAAGAGATTTAAAGATGAAAATGTACCAGTGGTCTACTTTATCTACTTTTAGGACTTGTGTGGAAATCTGATGATGTTTTATGTCATATTTATGTAGAAATCTAGAAAATACAATGGAAGTCAGTGACGAGCTTGGATGTGTGCTGCTGCACTCTGAGGGTATTTTAGAAAAAAACAAGTCCTAAAGCAGTGAGAGACTGCGTGAAAGAAGATACAAATATGCCCATTTAAATGTATATACTGTAAAATGGGTGTAAAGACTGCAGGAATAAGAAGAGTTTGCAAAAATGTTGTATACTGGTAATTAAATAAATAAATAATTAAATAAATAATTAAAACGTTAGGGTGACATCTTCCCGCTGTTAGTTTAACATTCTGTAGTAAATTCTCTGAAAATCTTCAACTTTATACTGTGATAGTTTAAAAACAGTTAAAGGTATTAAAGTGTTCGTTCAGTCATGTAGTCAAACTTTCTGAGCTGTCTAAACTTTGAATGTTTCCACTGTGAAGTACGTGTCAGCTGCAGAGCTCCAACAGGGATGATGGGGTTTCTCTTCTCTTTCAATAACCCATCATTTGTGTGTATGTGGGGTTTTCTTTTGCAGGTTATTTTTGTGTGTAATTTTTGTCTAAACTGAACATGGAGTACATTCATAGCCAATCGTTCCTGATTGAGTCACATGTTTTAATGTTGTATATTTTTTTGAAGGGGGTGTTTCAAATCCTTGGTGTGAGGCGTAATGAATGACAGAACCTTGAGAATAATGGTCAGATAGTATCAGTCATGCTGACTCCAAATATTAATTGGTTGTAAACTTACGTAAAATGATTTTTGAGTGTTTCATTTGAAATAGTCCTGTGGTTTATGAGATGTTTTGCTAACACGACGCAGACATGAGCAAAAACACAATCACCCTTTCACCTTCATTTCATCATCAGTGTTTAAACAGTACGTCTGCCACATCTAGTCTACGTGGCTGATATGATTAAAGATGCAGGGAACATCTGTACAGATGTGACCCATGGCAGTATACTGTCAGATGAAAGAAGTCTTTCATTTACCCTCCTGGAAAACAACTCAGGTTTCCTCCTTCACCTTGCTGCAGCAGTACTCTGTCATTATTTTGTCTCCGTCATGAAAAAGCTTGACGAGAAAAGACCTTTATTCATTTCCGACGCTCTATTTTGTTTCCTCACTTCTCATAAGTTTCCAGCAGAGGAGTTTTTCTGAAATATTGTCTCATTTTTTTTTTTTTTTTTTTTTTTTTTAAGAAAAGTTGATGCGGAACAGAGACAACAAGAAAACTGTGGTGAGCCTCTTTTGTTTGAGATTTAATCTTATTTATTAATTTAGCACATAATTACAAGTCTTTTAGTCTTTTAATGATAATCAAATTAACTACCTTAAGTTTCCCATTCTACTTCAGAACTTTAAGATGACGTTGGTTTTCTTCATTTCTGCTGACAGACCTGCTTCACTGTTTTCTTTTGTCGTTGTTTTCAGATCTGCATTGAGGGGAATATTGCCAGTGGAAAGACGACGTGTCTGGAATACTTCAGCAGGACGAGCAACATAGAGGTAGCTCAAGCAAAGTTGGCTTCTTTGTGAATACACTCTTACAGGCTGTTACTCTGACACTGGCTAAAGAGATACCATAACCTATATTTGAGATGAGGAAATAAACCTGTTAGTCAGGGTCAGCTGAAAAGTTAAACTTCCTCTTCTAAGGTTATTAATTATTATTAATTAAAGAATGAGCCATGAGGATTTTAGAAAAGTCCATATTCCACACATAGATGTGATGTGAAACCATGGTTGTGATGCTACAGATGTTCAAAAATATTCTGTCAAACAACATAACATGGAAAATGTTCATCGATTCCTCTGTCTTCTCTTTGTTTCAGGTCATTACAGAACCGATTTCTAAATGGAGGAACGTTCGCGGATACAACCCTCTGGTAATTTACACAACTGGGCTCGAACATTTTCACTGATATCAAATTTTATAAAGCAATCCTTAATTTCTGTCCTGGGTTTGTGACTTCTAAAATAAAATATTCAGAGATTCTTTATTGTCATTTCACCACATGTGGTACATGTGGTGGAGCAAAATTATGTACACAGGGTCCCAGTTACATCCAACAATAAAATGTAAAATAAAAACGGTAATAAAATCTAAGATATGAACTAAGAAAAACATCAGCTATAAATATGCTAAGCACTACTAGCATAAAAACAATAAACACATTACACCGAACAGCAGCGCTAACATGAGTCTGTGTGAGCAGATGAGCACGCATGAACACAGCAACATGAAACAGATCAGCAGCAACATGAAACAGATCAGCAGCAACATGACAGATCAGCAGAAACATGAAACAGATCAGCAGCAACATGACACAGATCAGCAGAAACATGAAACAGATCAGCAGCAACATGACACAGATCAGCAGAAACATGAAACCGATCAGCAGAAACATGAAACCGATCAGCAGCAACATTGAAACCGATCAGCAGCAACATTGAAACAGATCAGCAGAAACATGAAACTGATCAGCAGCAACATTGAAACAGATCAGCAGAAACATGAAACCGATCAGCAGCAACATTGAAACAGATCAGCAGGAACATGAAAGTGATCAGCAGCAACATTGAAACAGATTAGCAACATTGAAACAAATCAGCAGCAACATGAAACAGATCAGCAGCAACATGAAACAGATCAGCAGAAACATGAAAGTGATCAGCAGCAACATTGAAACAGATCAACAGAAACATGAAACAGATCAGCAGCAACATTGAAACAGATTAGCAACATTGAAACAGATTAGCAACATTGAAACAAATCACCAGCAACATGAAACAGATCAGCAGCAACATGACACAGATCAGCAGCAACATGACACAGATCAGCAGAAACATGAAACAGATCAGCAGCAACATGACACAGATAGCAGCACCATGAAACCGATCAGCAGCAACATTGAAACAGATCAGCAGAAACATGAAACCGATCAGCAGCAACATTGAAACAGATCATCAGCAACATTGAAACATATCAGCAGAAACATGAAACTGATCAGAGGCAACATTGAAACCGATCAGCAGCAACATGAAACAGATCAGCAGCAACATTGAAACAGATCAGCAGAAACATGAAACTGATCAGCAGCAACATTGAAACTGATCAGCAGAAACATGAAACCGATCAGCAGCAACATTGAAACAGATCAGTAACATTGAAACAAATCAGCAGCAACATGAAACAGATCAGCAGCAACATGACACAGATCAGCAGCAACATTACACAGATCAGCAGCAACATGACACAGATCAGCAGAAACTTGAAACAGATCAGCAGCAACATGACACAGATCAGCAGAAACATGAAACAGATAGCAGCAACATGAAACAGATCAGCAGCAATATTGAAACAGATCAGCAGAAACATGAAACAGATCAGCAAAAACGTGAAACAGATCAGCAGCAACATGACACAGATCAGCAGAAACATGAAACAGATCAGCAGAAACATGAAATAGATCAGCAGCAACATGATGTGATTTTTCACAGTGATTATTCTGGTTAGAGATTCATGAGTCTTAACAGCCTCAGGGTAGAAGCTGTTCCTCAGTCTAGTGGTTCTACACTTAATGCTCCTCAACCTCCTTCCTGAGGGGTGTGGGGCAAAAAGTGTATGTGCTGGGTGAGTGGGGTCCTTCATGATGCAGGTGGCCCTCTTCCTGCATCTGGAGGTGTAGATGTCTGTGATGGTGGATATGTAAACAGTGAATATGTATACAGTAATAAATTTTTTGGGGTGGAATACAAATGCACATTTCAGTTTTACAGTTTTTTTTTTATATAATTATTTAAAACTCTTGAGAGCTCCTCCACATTGAGAGGAGGCTCAGGCATCTAACATAGTAAGGATGCCCCCTGGACACCCCCCGGGGGGGGGGGGGGGGGGGGGGTCTGGAGATATCCGACTGAGAGGAGACCCAGGACATGCTGGAGGTGAGTCTGTGTCTCTCAGCTGACCTCTCAGTTGGCCTGAGAACGTCTTGGAGACTTCTTGGAAGATCTGAAAGATGTGGCTGTGGAAAGAGATGTCTGGACCTCCCTGCTCAAACTGCTGCCCCCAAGACCTGAATCCAGTGGAATTAATGGATAAATGGAATTTTAAAATAGTTTTTATCTCTTTCTACTTGATCATTTTGTAATATTTTGTGTAAGTCCATTATTTAAATTAAAATAAAAAATCCATAAAAATTCCTTGTTGTAAGGAAACAATGAAAAGAAGATTGGGGCTTTTTAGAGGAATTATTTTTCATCTGCTTTCACATAAATCTCTGAAAGACTAAAAACCCCGAAGCACCGTATAACATTTAAAACTGTTAAACCTTTCTGAGGTCTTCTTGCTGTCTCTGCAGGCCCTGATGTACCAGGACCCTCAGCGCTGGGGGATCACGCTGCAGACTTACGTTCAGCTCACCATGTTGGATCTACACCTGTCATCCACTGTAAGTACACTGTTAGCACACTAAGCATAATGTTAGCATACTGTTAGCACACTGTTAGCATACTGTTAGCACACTGTTAGCATACTGTTAGCACACTGTTAGCACACTGTTAGCACACTAAGCATAATGTTAGCATACTGTTAGCACACCGTTAGCACACTGTTAGCACAATGTTTTCACACTGTTAGCATACTGTTAGCACAATGTTATAACATTGCTAACAGTAACTTTGGTTTCAGTCTGCTCCTGTCATGATGATGGAGAGGTCCATCTTCAGTGCCAAGTACATCTTTGTGGAGAATCTCTTTCAAAGGTATCAGTAGCTGTGTTTTAACAGACTTTAGGATTTCAGACATGAAAACATGAAATACAATCTGAGCTAAACTTACATAAATTATGTTTCATCTTCATTAAGCTCTTAATTTAATGCATATGAGAATTAAAATATTCTCTAATCACTCAGAAACCTTCATGCTACAATAAAATGTGATTTGAGCCCCTAGTATACTGCCGCGTACGTCCATACGCAGAGGTACGCACGTACGTACGCGGAGGTACGAACGTACCCCCCAGGACATGTCCGTGCAAAGCTCAAATTTTTACGACCGCATACGCGTACGCAGTGTCGCACAATAAACTGCCCAGCGACGGACTGTTTTGTATGCGACACCAATGTATTAAATTCCCCTTCTTCATCCCTGATCTGGCGTTTTCTTTTGTTTTTTTGCCAAGAGACAGTGATCTCTTCCTCTTCCGTTGATGCCATGACTGAAATGGTGAGAAATGGAGGAATTTGTCACGAGCGAATTAAACTCAGGTCCAGCGTGGCTGCAGGAGGGTCTGGAGATTTCCTGGTGGGCTGGTCTGATGTGTGGGCTGTAGAGCCAGCGCTCCCTGTTTTTTAATTTTTTTTTTAGATCTTTTTATTAACTACACAGAACATCGCTGCGGCGGAGACTGCTAGCGCTCGCTTTTTTTCTTTTTTCGACCTGTCAATCAATCCAGTAGGCGTGTCAGTAAATGACCAATCGGCGACCTCAATTTGTCCCGAAGGTAAACGTCCTTTGTCTGTGAAGCTGCTCTGCAGCTGCTCGGGGTGTACGCTGGAGTATGAAGTCTGAACCCTCTACGTACAGTACACGCGTACGTACGCGTGAATGGACGTACACGGCATTATACTGGAGCCTTTTGCCTTAATGTTGGCTGATAAGGCAGAATGCCTCACTAAATGTCTCAGGTAAAGCCGTGACCTTCACTACCTCCACCATTTCAGCTATCTTTGTTTGTCTGAGGTTAGCTCACCCTGGGTTACATTTCCATGTGGGCGGAGCCATCTTACCGTGAACGTCACATCAATTTAATTTGAATTCTGACTTTTCTGTCTCAGATTGTGACTCAAAATGATGTAAAGAACATCAGATTATTCTCGGTCTGCGTTCTTAGCCATTGTAGTGATGCTCGGTACACGTGCTGTGTTCCCCTCTGTTGTCACTTCCTGTTACTGCACTGCACTCAGCGGCATGACCTTTTTTTATTTTTTATTTTTCGCAATACGTTATTAATGTTATTCTTCCAAAAATACATTAATTTTATTTGCAGAATTGTGACATCACAGGCACTTTAAAAGCTTGATACAATAAAATTAAGTGAAGCAAATCAGAAACCTAAAAGTTGATAATGAAATTGGATGTTTTGATTCAAGCTGGATGTCATCCTGTTTGATCTTCCAGTGGAGAATTAAACTGGTTTGTCTTGTTAACAAAGAGTTTTCAAAGGAAAACAAAAAGCTTTTATAACAAGCATGTTAAAGTAGTGTTTTTAGAACAATCAAAGGTTTTCCCTGACTTAGCCTATTTTGTGTTTGCCAAGGTAGCTGTGGCAGCCATATTGAAATTAAACCATTCCATAGTACTCAGAGTGTTTTTAGGGAGTTACTATAGTTCAGTATGTGTAAAAATATTCAGACAATCCACATGAGTCTTGGCCCTGCTGTGACTAGCCATTAGCTCATCACTCCTGACAGAATCAAACACGTTTTCTCCAAATTTAAGTTTTTGAAAAAGTTATGTACAACAGGTAATACACTATATTATCATAACTTCACAGAACCTCACTTCACAATGTTTAAAGTTTTGTTTTAATGTCTTTTGATTTGAAAGTGTTAAAATCGTAACTTCTCATTTTGACTGATGAATTCTAATTTCTTTCCCTCCCCTCAGTGGAAAAATGCCAGAGGTGGACTTCGCTGTTCTGAGCGAGTGGTTTGACTGGATCACAACGAACATCTCCCTCCCGGTCGACCTGATTGGTAGGAACACAAAATGTATCAAACGTTTCACCCAAATTGTTTGTGTACCTGTGGAAAAGAGTTTTTATTTGTAAAAAATAAAGAAAGGTTGAAATTTCATGAAGACAAACAGAAGAGAGGTGCTTCTTGTAAATATTTGTTCATAGAGTTAACTTTAGACCTGTCGTTATACCTCCATTTGTTTTAAACATAAACTTTATTCTATGGATGACAGGGACTAAACTTGTGCTTTACTCTTAAACAATAATTATTTTTAGAAAGTATATTCACACCTCACACTGAAACAAATATAAAACATCTTGTGAGCATTTTACAAAATCTGAATTCATGTAAAAAAAAATACACATTTACTTAAAATAAAAGAAACATTTTAAGATAATCAGGAAGAAAAGAAAATATTAAAATAAGGAATACAAAGAAGAATTGGCACAGTGGGTCAGCTGGTAGAGCTGCTGCCTCTCAGCAAGAAGGACACCGGTTCTAATCCTGGCCCGGGGCCTTTCTGGGTGGAGTTTGCATGTTCTCTCCGTGCATGCTCGTTTTCTCCAGGTACTCCAGTTTCCTCCCACAGACCAAGAACATGCATGTTAGACTGATTGTTAACTCTAAATTGTCTCTAGGTGTGAGTGAGAGAGTGAATGGTTGTTTGTCTCTATGTGTCCCTGTGATGGACTGGAGACCTGTCCAGGGTGTCCCCGCCTCTCGCACAGTGACCTACGACCAAAAACGAAGAAGCAGGTAAAAGAGGAAGGAAGGGAGGCGTCTTCAATGATCCATGCTGAGTGTGCCATGCCAACTTGTGTTTTGTGTATTTATTAAAACTAACACGATGACTTTAGCCATCCAGCAAACAGCACCTGTATTAATTTACATGTTGGTATGACTGAAAAAGATACTGATCAATAAAGTGACGTTCTAAAGGGTGACGTCAACAGAAAAGTTAACAAAACACCCTACTAACCCAGCACCTGATGCCATTACCCAGATCAATAAGTAATGTGTGACCACGCCCCTCATGATGTGAACACCTGTGCCACCATAAACAACACAACAGACATTTTGTCTCTTACGCAAAGAATAGAAAGAACAAACATTAAAACTCAAAGAATTGGGTGTGCGGACATGTTGAATGAACCAGGAGTGCTTCACCATTTGGTATTTGTTCTCCTTCAGCTCAGGTGGTCGCAGCTAAATAACCATGTGACATTATTTTATTTTTTTAAGTTTTTCTAAAAAATAAAATAAAAACTTCTCATACCTACAGCACCAATAAAACCTCCTGCTCTGTAGTTTCTGACGGGCGCTCTCTAACTTTCTCACTGGCCATAGTTTACCTACAGACTTCTCCTCAGACGTGCCATGAGAGGTTGAAGCAAAGATGCAGAGAGGAGGAAAGAGTCATTCCACTGGTGAGCCATCAAAAACACTGGAACTGTCCGATCCACTGGTGTCCGTCAGGATTTAGACAGATGGACTGATTTCACTGAGCAGTAAAATGACCACTTACATTTGGTTGGTCGTTTCAAACCTCAGGTGTGTGTGTGTGCACATCAGGAGTATCTGGAGTCCACACATGAGCTGTATGAAGACTGGCTCATCAGGTGTTCCTCCGCTCCTGTTCCTGCTCCTGTTCTGGTGAGTTCAGTCATGTGAGCAGATCTTTGACCTTCAGTGTCAAGGTCATACAGAAAGCTGATGCTCCGGCATATTGGGAGTGCATTTTTGTGTCAATGAAGAATTATCATCTTTCTTCTCCTTGAATGACCTCGATATGGAGAAACCAGTGTCTGTGATTTAAAAAAGTTAAAAAGAGAAAAATACTTGTTTCCAGGTGATTCCTGCTGATGGCGACCTCCAGAGGATGCTGCACCAGTATGAGCAGCACCGGGACAAGATTCTTACAGTAACTTGATGCCCTCATCCCTCAGTGCAGCTTGTGTATATATATGATTTTATTAGGGCTTCATAAAAGATAATTTCCAGCTGTTCTGACTTAAATATTGTTTTCATCTTAAAGATTTTCTGTATTCTGACCTACAGTTTAACTTCAAACAAAACTAAACTCAAAGTGAAGCATTCCTCTGAATGTCAGCGTTGGTTAAAAACTATTTTAATAAAAACTTTTGAAAACAGCAAAGAGACTGATTTATTATACATTGTTTACATTATATGCACTAAAACAAGCTTGAAGTCCCATAAACACCTTCAGAACCATAGTATGTGGTGGAGTGCAGATCAATACGATCGAATCAAGGTTAAAAGAAAAATCACTATATTCACACACACGGAGCATGGAAAAAGTTTAAAGGAGCTAAAATACCTGAATCAAACATATCTTGTCCTGAGAAGGCAACGTATCCACCTTACAATGATGAACTCAGACACAGGGAAACATCAACAGTGACTTATTAAAATATATTTAAAGTGATTTAGAGCAAATCCCTGAGAAAACATGGATGCAACTTTTTGTGCACAACACCCGATGATTCATTAAGTGAGCAGATTTCAGTGTAAACCGTTACATTTTACAGACAACGTTTTGATTCTGCACATTTCACAGATTCACAATAAAAAGTTCTTTAATCCAAAGAGCTCGGTCTGCTCCGACAGGTCTGGATGTTCACAGTTTACACCAGATTTGTTAAAAATGAAACAAAAAGAATGGTTTATAAACACTAAGTAAAACAGTAGCGTTAGTAAAATAATTGCTCATGTTGGAACAGAAACTAGTATTACGGCACATTTTAAATCCCTGAGAAATGATTTTATCAAAACTTTGGCATAAAAACACAGGATGGTTTTTATTGAGTTGCTCTGCTGTCCATCAGAGCATTTAACAAAGTGTTACTTGTTTCTCCTCCGGCTGGCCTGTTGGATCCCTCTCTGGACCTTTATAGCTCGGACAGTTGGCTGAACTCTCAGTTGGTGCCGAGACCCGTTTCTGCTCACGTCTCAGTTTCCAGTCAGGCTGAGAGGACTCTGTGTATCTACTGGGCTCATGACTGAAGACTTCACCGCCCTCCATCTCTTGCAACCTGACGTTTGGCTTCACTGCACCTCTCTCAAAGTTTTTTCTTTCCCTTTGTCTTTGTTCCTCCCTCTCCTCTCCCTTTGGGTTTTCTTTGGTTCTCTTTACGTCCACTTTGTTTTCTCGGACACACAGATGGCCCATCTTCTCCGACAGTTCTCTCAGCTCCTGCTCCTCTTCAACAGAGCTTAAGGACTGAAACTCTTGTTGTTTGGCCACTCTCATATTTTCTCCCTCTGTAAGAAAACAAAAAACATTTACAGTCCAACAAAGTTAAGTCAGGTCCTCCGGACGGTTTAATTTACAGTGTTTTCAGAAAGTATGTTGGAGGAAGAATCAGTTTTGTTGTGTGTTTCCTTGACTGATGAAGCCTTCCGGATCGAAGACGAAATGTTTCAGCACAAAAAAAGAAACTGTCCAGATGACCCGACTGAAAAATGTTGGATTTTATACCTGGATTTATGGGGTTTTTGTTTGTTTGTTTTTTGGTTCTGGGTTTGGGTTCTGTTCATCACATTTATGATTCGATGCAATAAAATAAATTTAAAAGGTAACAGATCATTGTAAACTTTGGTTTATGATTTTAATTGCTGGATGTTCGCCCCCCTGAGCAGTTTTGTTTAATAGCCCTGCTCTAAATGTTCTAAAAGAGCACAGAATGTCATGATTTCAGCTCCCTGCCTCCACTGCTCTTTGCCACCTGCACGTGCTCTTGGCCACGCCCACTTCTCAACTCTGTAGGGAGAACAGCTGATCAGCTGCAGCAGAACGCTTATCCTGCAGTGTGGACTGCACAAGCAGCAGGTGCTAAGTAATTGAAAATAATTAATTTTAAATAAAAAGTCCATGCCGATCGTGCGGCTCATCCATCAATCAGCCAATTGTGTGTCATGTCCAATCTTATTTTGAAAAACCAAAATACAGCGAGTCCACAATAAACAAACTGCAAAGTCGCGAGGGACTACTGTATACAGTAAAACCACCTATCCAGGTGAGCCAAGCTTGGATCAAATCCAAAACGACTCGAGGCTGTATATGAACTTTAATCAACGATTTTATTATGAAGTTTGAGGTCAGAATTGCGCACTGTGGAAATGAGCAGGAAATATTGTTACAGGTGACTAAAACTAAGTGCATGTGTGTGATCGTTACCGAACTGTGGTTGAGTCCTGGCAGGGAACTCCTCAGTGGAGGAGGTCTTCTCATACTTCAGCCTGGGTTCTTTGGGTCCAGTTCTCTGGGTGATGTAAAGGGAAATAGCTTGAGGACCACTGAGCTCGTGGACTCTATTTTCATCAGAGGTACTGGTGTTTGATGGAGCCGTGGTCCTTTCGTTGTTTTCATCGGTTGACTCACTTGTTGTACTGCTGGCATCGACAGGTTTATCTGCTTTACTTAAATCGTCTCGACTGAGGAGTGTCGGAGCAGCAGCTTTACTCCCCTTAATGCTGTCTGTTTTTGAAACTGCAGCTACCTTTCTGCTGCTCGCGGCACCATGCACCCTGGGAAGCTGCTCTGACACCAGAGGACGACCCCTGAAGGACAGGTCTGAATACGTCTCCTGCAGCTCCATAACAGACTGGTCATCATTGTTGAGGTTGAGGTGGTAGCGTCGAGGCTTCGGCTGGGGCTTTGATGCAGCCCTGCTCTCCAAATCCACAGAAACCTGGAGAAATGAAACAAAACTGGAGTTATCTTATTTAGACTCAATGTGTACGGGCTGACAAGCCATCCCTCCATCCTACCTCTTCTTTATCCCTCCTCTTCTCATTGTCTTTTTCTTCTGATGTGGTTTTCTTTTCTGTGTGGTCCATCCATTTCGCAGGCTGCTCTTTTCTACGGAGAGCTTCCAACCATTCCTGCAATATTATATATTCCATCATAAGTCACATTTGTGTGACTGTGCAGGAAATAAATTGAAACATTGTGACATTTTTGTGTCATTTTACTGTATATGACATCAGACTCGTCTAGATCTTACTTGTGGGCCCAGCTGATCCTCCACCAGTAGATCCAGGAGGTGATAACACTGCACCCGGGCCAGCAGCAGCTCCAATCCCATCTGCACGGCTGTCTTTGGGTCGGCATCCGCACTGAGTCTGAACTCACTGAGATAAGGCCACATATGCAAAGAGGATCGAGGGTCAATTCATCTCACAAGACCCTCGGAGCATGTGGAGGGGCATTAAGTGCATAACAGATTATAAAGGAAGGAGTGAACAATGCCCCAAATACCCATCTCTGCCTGATGCCCTCAACAAGTTCTATGCACGCTTTGAAGACCCGAACAGACCACCCAGCACCAGACTCACCTTGCCACCGGATGAAGAGCATCTCAGCGTGACCTCAGCAGAAGTAAGGAGTACCTTCAGGAGGATTAATCCGCACAAAGCAACTGGCCCAGACAACATCCCCGGAAAAGTGTTGAAGGAATGTGCTGATCAGCTCTGTGAGGTGCTGGCAGACATCTTTAACACCTCACTTACCCTGGAGACAGTTCCCACCTGCCTGAAGACTGCCACCATCATCCCAGTCCCAAAAAGCTCTACAGTGACTGGTCTGAATGACTATCGGCCAGTGGCCCTCAACCCGATAGTCGCTAAATGCTTCGAAAAACTGGTCATGACTCACATCAAAACAACCATCAACATCAACGAGGACCCTCATCAGTACGCATACCGTGAGAACCGATCAACAGAGGATGCAATCTCCTCTGTGGTCCACACTGCGCTCAACCACCTGGAGCAGAAAAACTCTTACGTCCGTATGCTCTTTGTGGACTTCACATCCGCCTTCAACACCATGATCCCCCCAAACCCTGATGGACAAACTATCCAAACTAGGACTAAGCCCCTCCATCTGCAACTGGGTACTAGACTTTTTAACAAACAGACCACAGTTAGTGAGGATCCACAACCTCTCCTCCTCCACCATAACCCTCAGCACTGGCTCTCCTCAGGGATGTGTGTTGAACCCCCTCCTGTTTACTCTGCTCACATATGATTGTGCAGCTACCCATCCAGGCTGTCACATTGTAAAGTTTGCAGATGATACAGCGGTGGTGGGATGCATCACAAACAATGATGAGTCCAGCTACAGGCAAGAGGTGGAACACCTGGAGAGCTGGTGCAAAGAGAATAACCTTCACATCAACGTGAAGAAGACAAAGGAGATGATTGTGGACTTCAGAAGGAACAAAAACACCTACACCCCCCTGAACATAAGAGGATCTGCGGTGGAAGTGGTCTCCAGCTACAAGTACTTGGGTGTACACATGAATGACAACCTCAGCTGGAGCAACAACACCACCAGCCTGATCAAGAAAGCTCATCAGAGACTACTTCCTCAGACGGCTGAGGCGAGCTGGTCTGGGAAGCTCAGTCCTCACCTCCTTCTACAGGTGTGCAGTGGAGAGCATCCTGTGCTCGAGCATCAATGTGTGGCATGGAGGCTGCACAGCTGCAGAAAGAAAAGCTTTGCAGAGAGTGGTGAAGGCTGCACAGAAATCTGTTGGAATCAGTCTCCCCACCATCACAGACATCTACACCTCCAGATGCAGGAAGAGGGCCACCTGCATCATGAAGGACCCCACCCACCCAGCACACACACTTTTTGCCCCACTCCCCTCAGGAAGGAGGTTAAGGAGCATTAAGTGTAGAACCACTAGACTGAGGAACAGCTTCTACCCTGAGGCTGTTAGACTCATGAATCTTTAACTAGAATAATCACTGTGAAAAACCACATCATGTTGCTGCTGATCTGTTTCATGTTGCTGCTGATCTGTTTCAATGTTGATGTGTTCATGCGTGCACATCTGCTCACAGACTCATGTTCATGTTTGTGGTGATGTTCAATGTTTTATGTTATGAGTGCTTAGTGTATATTTAGTTGATGTTTTTCTTAGTTCATATCTTAGATGTTATTACTGTTTTTCTTTTACATTTTATTGTGGGATGTAACTGGGACCCTGTGTACATAATTTCGCTCCACCACATGTACCACATGAGGTGCGAATGACAATAAAGAAACTCTGACTCTGATAAATCAAACAGAGCGGAGGACAGCGCTGAACATAACTGGCACTGTGTTCGTCTAAACGCAAACAAAAAGATTAAGGACAAAACACAAACGGAAGCAACGGTGGTGAAACTAAATCCTACCAATGAGTAGAAGTGTTTTCAGATGACCCTTTAAAACAAACGGTGTTGGTGTGTGTGACAAGAATCGACGGCTGGTTTCATAGTTAGGGCTACGACTGCCCTCTGCTCTGTGACAACAAGGTAATCATCGGTCTAACTGAACTCAAGGCTCATAACGCTAAAAGGCTGAACAGAATGAAGCTTTCTCAATAAAGACATGGGTTGGTTTTGTCTGAAGAGGGGTTCTGTTGAGTTATTAATAGTAGTCAGTATCTTACCTGTGGTAGACAGAGATTTACTGATTTGGGGTGTCAGAATTTTTCACTGAAGACAGTGTTTGCATGCATAATTGATGGGGGGGGGGGGGTGTTTTCAGTCAGGGTGTCTCAATACTAGTTGTGTTTTTTCAGACCAAGCGCAAGTACTAGTACTTCAGTTTGGGTACTTGCTGATACTGAGTACTGATACAGAGGAGTTAATGAGTGAGTACTTAAACATTACACAATGAGTTTAGAAACATTAAGAACACAACAAACAGTCTGCTGTCTTAGGATCACTTGTCTTAATTTAAATATCTCTAAACTATGGATTTTGTTTACTTTTGTCCTCAGTTTGTTGTGCTAGTGGAGGAGGGAATGACATTGCTATGCAAATTTATCAGTTTCAAGTATTGGGGTGTTATTATGAGTACAAGTATGAGTACTTGAGGCTGGTATTGGGTCCACCACTAGTTTTCAGGAAAGGTTGGTCCTGACATAGAGGGGTGCCTATAGCAGAGGGGTGCCTATAGCAGAGGGGTGTCTATAGCAG